TGAGTGAATGTCACCTACAAGTTTGCTGACAACACCACTGTAGTAGGATGGATATCTAACAACGACAAGTCAAACTACAGAAGGGAGGTCGAGGACTTGGTGACGTGGTGCAAAGAAAACTATCTGTCTCTCAACATTGGCAAAACTAAAGAGCTGACCATTTCCTTCAGAAAGAAAAGGAGGAGAACATGCCGCCATCTACATCAATGGTACTGAGGTTGAGAGGGTGAAGAACATCAAGTTCCTCGGAGTGACAATAACAGACAACCTGTCGTGGACTTCCCATGAGGATGCGACAACGAAGGCACAACAGCGCCTCTTCTAACTCAGGAAATTTGGCATGACCATAACGTCCCTTATCAACTTCTACAGATGCACCATTGAAAGCATGCTGTCCAGGTGCATAACAGCCTGGTATGGCAACCGTTCTGCCCAGGACAGTAAGAAACTACAGAAGGTGGCGTGCATAGCCCAGACCATCACAGAAGCCAACCTTCCATCCATGGACTCCATTTATATGGCCATGGAAAGACTGCCAACATCATCAAAGACCCGTTTCACCCTGGCAATGCTCTCCCATCAGGCAGAAGATACAGAAGCTTGAACACGTGCTCCAGCAGGTTCAAGAACAGCTTCTTCCGTGCCATAGTTAGACTGATGAATGGACTGTCTAGCCTCAAATAACATGGATCTTGCCAACATTGATCTTGCCTAGTGCGTGCCCTGTGCAATGTAACCTGTATGCCTCTAAGTCTTTGATCTGTACATCCTTTGCTTACTATGATCTACCTGTAATGCTCATAAACAGAGCATTTCATTGTATTTCAGTACACGACAGTAAATAAATGAAATAAATCAGCTGAAAAGGCTGTTGCTTCATTCTGAGGCTGTGCCCTTGGTGTCAAGTCTCCAAGTGGAAACGTCTTCTCCACGTTCACTCTATCCAGGCTTCTCAGTATTCTGTAAGTTTCAATTCTTTTGTAAAATACTTTTGCCAATTTTAATAGACTGGTTCATATTCATACAGCTAAGATACCAATAAGTTGTATGTGCATTGCACATTTTGAACATGAAAACCATTCAAATATACTTTTAAATATAATCAGACAAATGAGTGGAAATAGAATAAAGGTGAGGATAAAATGCAGAAGAGGCAAGAGGAAGATAAAAACATTGCAGAGAGATGATGTGAACACGTTCTATGGGAAGCAACAGGTCCCCAGTAATACGGTCTTGTGAAATCTCCTGTTGCTGTGTTTTTTAATCTATAACCTTCACTGTTGACTTGCTTTGTACTGTGGCAGCAATGATTGACAGATCTGTTTACCTACATCCCCTTCTGCATTTTTAATTTGACTAAATGTATTCCACATCACCCGGTAGTTCCCTGTTTATGGTTCTCCTTAAGTCTGAAGTGAGTTTTAGAACTTTTCATTAAAATAGTCCTAGTTTGCCTACTTTGTGGACCTTCTCTGCAAAACTTGGATACTTCCCTGTGAATCTGTAACTAAAATGGTCATGAAAGTAAAATATGACACACAGACAAAGTTTGATCAAGGTTTCAATGACAGTAGATTGTCTGAAATTAACCACAGGACTATCCGTGAACTTAAAGTGCAGTGGAACCGCAATACTGGTGAAAATGGGTTGTCACCCTGATTTAGTGCTTGCAAATACGTTCTCTATGATATCATCAAATTTGGTTTGAAAATGGAGTGCCGCATCTTTTATAAAGCTTGCCATCAGTACTACTTTAAAGCATTCTTTTTAACCTCAGTGGGGTTATTTACTTGAAGACATTGCTGACCCAGTTTCCTGTGAGGAAGTTAAAGTACTTGTATTGTTGAAGTTAACTGGGTGAATGATTAGTTCTGTACTAACCATCAAATGTGTTTTTCCCCTCGCAGCAGCCTGTCATTTCATGTGAAAGCTGTTTTGTATAAGTCCAGTCACCAGTAATGAGCAACATATTGCTTTATGCTCAAAGCTCTGTTCTACTTGTATAATGAATTACGTTAAAAGTTAAAAGTCAAAAGTTACCAAAGCCACACAGTACCCAATTTTCAGTTTTGCTCTTGCAACTCCTGACCCTAGCCAAGTGCTGAAAAATTAATGTTCCAAAAGATGTCATGCATTCACATTTGTATGTGACTTAATCGCAAGAGAATTTTTGGAAGATCATTTTGTACAACAAAAGCAGTGCAAAGATGCAGAGTCATGCTGCAGTTATACAAAACCCTGGTTAGACCTCACTTGGTGGTACTGAGAGTCGATCTGGGAACCACGCATAGATATAATGGCCTTGGACCGAGTACTACAAAGGTTTATAAGAGTGATACGTGGATTTCAGGAGTTATGAGGAGAGTCTATACAAATTCAGTCTGTTATCTCTAGAATTTAAAAGGTTAAGGGGTGATCTGATTGAAGTCTTCAAGATATTAACAGGAAAAGACAGGGTAGATAAACTATTTCTACTTGTTAGGGATTCTAGAACTAGGGGGCATAGTCTGCGAATTAGAGCCAAACCATTCAGGAGATGGTTAGATGATAAGAAATAAGAACAGGAGTAGACTTTTCAGTCCCTCGAGCTGCTGTTCCATTCAACAAGATCATGGTTGATCCAACATTCCACACATCCACTTTGTTTTTTCCCCCCTCTAACCTCAATTTCCCTACTGATCAAGAATCTATCTATCTCGGCCTTAAATATACGCAAGGACTGTGTCCCCATGGTTCTCTGTGGCAAGGATTTCCAAAGACACCAAACCCTTTAGGCCTAGACTGTCCCATGAAGGGAAACATCCTGTCACCATTTACCCTGTCAAGCCCCTTAAGAATCCTATATGTTTCAATAAGATCACTTCTTATTCTTCTAAATTCCAGTGAGTAGAGTCCCAACCTGTTTAGCCTTTGCTCAAAGACAGTCGCTGCACACTGAGTATCATCTCGTGAACCTTCTCTGAACTGCCTCCGATGAAATGATATCGTTCCTTAAATAAGGGGACCAGAACTACTCTTGATTTCCAGATGTGATCTCAGGAGCACCTTGTACAGTTGCAGTAAGACTTCCTTACTGTAGACACCCACTCCCTTGAAGTGAGGGCCAACATTCCATTTGCTTTAATAAAAACCGAAAGAACTGTGGATGCTGTAAATCAGAAACAAACACAAGTTGCTGGAAAAGCTGAGTTCTGTCAGTGTTAATATTTCAGGTTTGGTGACCATTCCTTAGAACGGAAGGGTCACCAGACCTGAAATGTTAACTGTGATTCCTCTTCACATGCTGCCAGACGTGCTGAGCTTTTCCAGCAACTTCTGTTTTTGATTCCATTAGCCTCCTTGAATACCTGCCGCACTGGTGTGCTAACTTTGTGTTTGTTAGGATACACCTCTACACGCAATGGGTGGTAGATGTTTGGAACTCCATTCCACAAATGGCGATGAATGCTGGATCAGTTGTTGATTTTTATATATTTGTTAAGCAAAGGTATTAAATGATATGAAAAGCCCAATATAGAGTTAGGCCACAGATCAGCCATGATGTCATTGAATAGCAGGACAGGCTTGAAGGTCTGAATGGCGTACTCCTCCTATGTTGACTTCCTCAGCTACCTGCATTCCCAGAGTTTTAGACATTTCTGAAATGTTTATGCCATGGCTGCAATACTATATCTTAAATTTCAGTTAACAATTCATTTGTTTTGTTTGGATTTTGCATGCATGTATATCAGATGACAATTTCCTAGGTTTTTCAATGTTCAGTTGTTAGTTGAGCTTGTAGAACTGCCCAATGAATAAAATGTATATGGTCTACTGTGGGTTAGCAATATATATGCTGCAATTTGCTTGCAGTGTACCACATTTAAATTATATAGTTTAGTACACTTATTTGGGCCCATTCTTCTGCACCTTATTGTCTGATGACTTTGGACTTTTAGAGAGAATTGCAAAATGAGGAAGATATGCTCGACCTGTGTTAAAGCTTGGTTAGGTATAGCACTGGTATATAACACCCAGAAGGGAATAGATGTTTATGATAAATTTAGGTGAGAAAAATGAGTGAAGCATAATCACTAATATGGATTGTTTGAGCTGAATGTCCTATTTTTGTGCTGTATGCCACATGTAATCCTATGCCTTTATATTCCTTGGGTCTGAATTCAGTTGTTGATTGGAAAGAAAATCTGAACTGATTAACAGTCTCTCTTGAATAGATTGCTGTATGTACCATTTGCAAGCTGCATTGAAGCAATTTATTGAGGCTGCTTTGATAGCAACGTCTAAACTCTCAACCTCCTGCTCCTAAGGAATAAGGGTAGTTTAAGATAGGGAAGTTACCTCCCAAGTGTCTCGTTACGCTGTTCTTGAAATATGTTGTCATTTTATTCATTGTTGCTATGTTGAACTTCCCACCGAACAATACTATAGGAATGGTTTTGCTACGTGGGACTGTGGTGGTCAGGAAGAAGACTCTTCATCTTTGAGGCTAACAATGGGTTAGGAAAAAACGCTGGCCTTTCTGGTGGTGACCCATAGCCTGTGAATGATTGCCCAAATCTATTTTTTAATTCGGTATTGGCTTGAAATCCACAACATATGACTCAGCAGAAGGCAACGAACTTAATTTGTAACCTTGGAGAAAAGTTGGATTTTCTACCTGCTATGATCTAAAGCTGATTTAAGAAATCTATTGACAAGAGTTGCAGATACTTGCTGAAGTGGATACCAGAAATGTGATAGTGTTCCGTTTCCCCATGTTAATATGCCTCAGTTCAATTGCCAAAAATGGAAAAACTATTGTATTTGACGTGATCAGTGCCATAAAACTGCATATAGCAAAGACTACAGGGAGGAAATATGAAAGTGTATTCAACTTTTTGGCCTGCAGTTTATTTTCCACTCCTTATTTAGTGGTGATCTTTATTTTGCTGGGGTGAAGAAGCAATGTCTCATGGAATATTTAACAGTTAATTTTATGTGCATCTTGTCACATCTTGCAGATCTGAAGCTTCATCTCCAGAGCACAGACTATGGCAATTTCCTGGCAAATGAGGCCTCTCCACTCACTGTGTCAGTGATTGATGACAAATTGAAGGAGAAGATGGTGGTTGAATTTAGGCATATGAGGAACCATGCATATGAGCCCCTGGGCAGCTTTCTTGATTTCATCACGTGAGTAAAAAGTCTTATGAAAGGGTCAAAATAATACAGGACAGCAAATCTTCCTTAACTTTAGGGATAGTGTTTGTATCATATTTATCTAGTTGTCTGGGCTGTCAATCCTTCCTCGACCAATACAACCAAAAATTGATTAGCTGCATAATCAACTCACTGCTGTTTGAGTACAACTGGTTCGTGTTTACAGGTGATGAATATTTCAAAACTGGTTAATTGGACATGCAGTGCTTTGAAGCATCGTGAAGATGTTATCAGGTGCTATGTAAATGCAAAAGCTTTTGTAATGTTTTAGGTCCTAGACTTTACTGGTGCAATCCTAAAATACTTAATAAGCATAAAGTACTCCCAGAATTGTACCACCCAAATCAAAAGCAAAATTTGGTGCTTGACCATCCATACTTCTGCTGGCTATATTCTAATTTAAACAAGAATTGCAAATTGAAATGTCAGTCACCAAATATTATTCTTTGCACCATGAGCAAGAATACATTTTGGAAGTGGAAAGCAAAAAGCTTTAGGGTAGACAGTTGGCAAAAATTCTGTTTCATGACTATTGAATACAACTATTATTTGATCATGATTTACATGCTTGTGGCATGTAAATTATTGTACTCATTTCAGGATGTACATTGTTTTAAAAAGTACACAAAGCACTTTGGAACACCATCCCAAACATGAATTAACTCAAATAGAGCGGTTGCTTTTCTAAAATGACAACTACCTTAGCCGCTGCTCAAACTTAATGCTGTCCAGCGTAAATGTTGTGGAAGGGCTCTTGTCTGCAGTAGCAGTGTTCCTACCTCTGAGACAGGAGGCCTGGGTTCAAGTCCCACCTGATCCACAGGTGTATAATAAATCTGGACAAGTTGATTTTTAAAAAAAAAAAAAAAAAAGCCATGGATGAAAGTAAGGTTTCTTTACTGGATGATTTTAAGATATTTGCAAGATTATAAGTTGCCTGAAATATTGAGATATTTTTAAGTATCAGATTGAGGATAATAGCAAAGTAAATCAGGCTCGCCTTGCTTAAGCTTCCAAGTAAGCTTAAATGGTCTCATTGCTGGCTTTCAGCTTCACATTTGAATGCTCCAGATGTACTTCATATCTCATACTCACTTTCACCCTTTTTTTTAGAAACACCTGTGAAACTTGCAACATTGCCCCAGCTAATTTTCCTTCTACTTGATCATTTTCCATTCTGTTTATGCCAATAATAATGGAACCAATCTTTAACCATAATATTCTTGCATTCATAATTTCCTTCAAAAATAATCTGTCTTATTACATCTCCTTCATTTTCAAAAACTTAAAATCTGTTTCATCTTGACTACCTGCTTTGATCTCTCTAGCTCACTTGTGTTTGGGGTCCTGCTGTGTAAAATCCTCTCTCTTTCCTGAAGTCCTTTAGGATTTTTTCTGTTTTGAAGACAAATTATCTTAATCACTGCATTCTAATTTTACAGCTGTCTGGCATTCTTTTAAAAATAACTGGGGGTTTCAGATTGAGCACCAGTTACCTTTTATAATGTACAATTAATATTAATGTACAATTGTATTGATACAGGTACAGCTACATGATAGACAATGTCATTCTCCTGATTACTGGAACATTACACCAGCGATCTATTTCTGAGCTAGTTCCAAAGTGCCATCCCTTAGGCAGCTTTGAGCAGATGGAAGCAGTCAACATTGCCCAGACGCCAGCAGAACTTTACAATGCCATCTTGGTTGATACACCTTTAGGTAAGGTATGATTCTAAAGAGTTTTAAAAAAAAAAAAAAATTCCTAATGAGAGAAGTTCAGTATTTGATTGCTGTATAATTGACCCAAGAACATGGGTGAAAGCATTTTACTGAAGAGAGCTGATGGTTTTACAGTACAGTTGGATGATTACTGATAAGGAATAGCTATGCTTGTGAAAGCCAGCCAAGCTGCAGTCACTCAAAGGTACAAAAAGTGAGTTTGGTTAAGATAGCTGCCAAGTGCAATACTGTTTTATTTTGTATGAATTCATTGAAAGGAAAGGTGAGTTTATTTTCTTCATGCTGGGTTGCCGAGATTTTCAGTGAGTACTGTGGAAATTTACGCTGCTGGTTGAGTTGAATAGCACTCCTCACTGCACCTGGTCCTTCAATTATGACGTGTTATAGCTGTGTATAAATTAGAGAAGTAACCTGTCCTGCATACCCAGGGTGTTAATGATGCTGACCAGAAAGAACAATTAACCTGTTTAAAAAGTAAATGTAAAGGTAGGGTTAAAGATGAAGAGTGCATGTTGGAGTTGCAGCAAAGCATTAGGTTTGAATTGAAACCATTCACTTTTGGAACATGTCAGTACATAGCCTCCAGAAAATTAAAGATCGAGAGCACTACATGAGCAAAATTATGTAAATTGCAATCTATTAAAGCTAGTGTACATGTAATACTTGGAACTCAAAAATAAAAATGGAATTATCATTTAAGTGTTCAAAGGTTAAATATTCTTTTAAAATCAATAACATTACTGTAGAAAATCCAAGCTTCCTGTTGCTGTGTTTGGCACTAAAACATTAGCAACAGCCTCCAGCCAGCAGTGCCAAATGGATGATTAAATCTCTGCCTCCTTCCGAGGTCCTTGGCATCACAAGTGCTGGTAATCAGCCAATTTGATTCCTCCAAGTGATAGCAAGAAACAACTGGAGGCATTGGGAACCCCAAAATCTATGGGCGTTGGCACCCCTCTGACAATAGTGCTAATGACTTGTGTTGCAGAACTTGTGCACTTAGTCAGGCTGTTCCAGCTACAACACTGGCATTTACCCGACAATGTGGAAAATTGCTAGCCGCAAAAGGCAGGACAAATCCAGTCTGACCAATTTGATGCAAGTTGACCAAGGTAGTGCTATCAAGCAGCAAAAGCTCCAAATCATTTACCGTCCTAACTTGGAAATATATCACCTTTTCTCAATGTTGTTGGGTCAAAATCTGGAACTCCCGCCCTAGTGGCATTGTTGGTTTACCTACACCAATTGCAAGAAGGCAGCTCCCTATTACCACCTTCTCAAGGGCAGCTAGGAATGGGCTATAAATGCTTAGTCAGCAATGCCCATGTCGCATAAGTGAATTAAAAATTAGCGTGAGAAAATGGCAGTTAAGGATTGCACTTGTACATACGTAATAGAACAGGTTAGCACACTGTCCCCAAGACCTTGTCACGCTTGATCTTCCAGTTTCTTGCAAGATAGTAAATATGAAACATCCAGAAAACAGTCTGAAAGATTTTGGATTCTCCAATCTACAGTAGTGAGGCAGAAGCAACACTCAAGTTTGTATAACATGAAAGGTCTCAGATTTTTCTGTTAGAGAGCTATTGGATTTTATTGGATATTGATGCTAAAAATGCAAATAACTGCAAGTTTAGCAGGTGTGAGAGGCTTTTTGTGTGAACACTTAACTGGTGGAAGGGATCATGTCATCCATTACAATTTGGCCTACCTGGAAAGTAAGCCTAGTTTGCAAACCTTTGGTCCCTCTGACAATTAAAAATCTATCTGAACGTAATTTAAAGGTTATAAGATCTGTGATTCTCCCATTGAGTATCTTGTTGGGAGACCCCTACAATTGACTGTATCTAGGTATCTACAGATCTAATGCTGCAGTTAGTGTTCTGTACAGGCATGACACAGACTGAACAGAGTTCTAAGTTTTAAAATACAATTGCCTGCTGCAAAAATTCTGGGGACCTGGATACATAGTAAAATTAATTCTGTGCTTTTTGAAATGTGATAATCCTTGACCATAAATCATTCCTCTGGATTTCATTAAATGCTTAGAGGGTGAAATTTTCATACTTTGAATTCTGTAAATAATAAAGTGCAATAAGATTTTTTCTTTTCAGCTGCATTTTTCCAGGACTGTATATCTGAACAGGACCTTGATGAAATGAACATTGAAATTATTCGTAATACACTGTACAAGGTAACTGCATGGTAACTTGAACTTAATAAATTAGCTTCTATTCTCGACAAAGTAAAAGATGTCAGTGCTAAGAAATAGAACACTCAAATCTTGGACAGCCAGTGTTAGCACCCGGAATGCATAAGTAGGTGTAACAAAGATTTGCTGTAAATGCCCTCTGTGTTCTACAATTTCCATAGTTGTGAAGCACAGCTAACAGGACTGGTCACATAGTTGAGGCAGGAAACCTGTCAACCTTTTTTCAAAGTACTTGAAGGAGTACTTGAAAAGTCTAACATTCAAGGCTTATGGCCTAAGTGTTGGGAAGTGGGACTAGTGTAGATTTAGTGCTTTGTTTTGTTGGTGCAGACTCAATGGCCTGAATGGCCTCTTCTGTACTGTATGATTCTTTGAGGGTATGATGGATTCTGTAAATCCTGTAAACACCAAATCTTGCGTGTTCTGAGAGAGCTATTTTAGTAATTATTAGATTTTTGGTAGTTTAGCAAAGTACACATGAAACTGAAATATTAAGGCTGGTAAAGTTCATTTCAAAAGAACAAAAGAGAAGTACGGCGCAGGAATAGGTCCTTTGGCACAGGCTTGGAGGGCTAATCATCATGCCCTAAGTAAACTTTTAAAAAAAAAACCTTCTGCCCTTTTTCAATCTGTATCCCTCTCTTCCTTCCGTATGCATGTAACCATGCAGATCCATTTCAATGCAAGATCTTCATTTTTTGGTGATGTTTGGAATGTATACTGTTTCCGCTACATGAGAGAAAAGCATATGAATGCAGTTTTCAACATTTTGAATCTAGGAATACTGGTATGTATTGCCTTAGTGAATTTTATGGATGTTTTGCCTGATTAGTCAGGTGCATAATTTTATCAGTTAGTGCTAAGTCATCTACCGTAATAGAATCAGGTAAAATTTAAATCTGCCAAGGCTCACTGAAACACATTAAATATGAATGCATAAGCAATGTGACAAAGGGTGCTCTGAGCATAAAACAGTGCTTCTGTATGAATGATCACCTTTGAGCAAGGAGAGAAAGGTTCTAGTAGGCTAACTTGCACGTTAGAGAAACATTTTAGCTGATTGTCATTAAATTCATTGTCATTCAGCCACAACAGAGTTGAGATATGAAAGTGGAAACGGCTAGGCTTTTAAAACATGACTTTTGGAAACTTGTTACTATGTAATTGACTTGAGTGTTTTTCTTCCTCTACTGCCAAACCCTAAGGCCTATCTGGAATCATTTTACAAGTTTTGCAAGACATTGGGAGGTACAACCGCTGATGCAATGTGTCCTATTTTGGAGGTGTGTTATTAAGCAGCAACACTCAATATTCTGAAGCATTTTATTAATGTTAGTTTAAACTTGGTATGTTATGTTCAAAGATTAAGCTCAGTGGTTAGCACTGCTGCCTCACAGCACTAGGGACCTGGGTTCAATTCCACCCTCAGGAAACTGTCTGTGTGGAGTTTGCATGTTCTCCTGTGTCTACATGGGCTTCCTCTGGGTGCTCCGGTTTCTTCCCATTGTCCAAAGATGTGCAGGCCAGATGGATTAGCCATGGTTAATGCGGGGTTACAGGGATAGGGTGGGGGGGGTTCTGGGTGGGACGCTGTTTGGAGGATTGGTGTGGACTCGATGGGCTGAATGGCCTGCTTCCACGTTGTGGGGATTCTAACTCTAACTAAAAGCCTGCTATGGTTATGTTTTTTTCTTGTATCACTATTTTATGACAGCTAGTTCATTCCCTGTACGTTTTCTCATGTTTCCAAAGTTCTGATCAAAATGTGTTGTCAGTTGTAGTTTCTCATTTGTATGGTTGAGATTTGGGATGTTTAAACTTAATGAAACTTTGTTTGGCTTTTTGTTCAGAATAATCATTAAAACTTAAAATTTACAGCAGTAGTTATAAATTGGTGTGGAACTGGCAGAAATACCTCAATGTAAGAGCTTCAGCCAGATTACAAAACAAACTGCTTACATTCGTTTACTTAGTTGTGATTTTATTGGCTTTGAACTGCATAATCTGATATGTATATAGGCGAGCCTTGATAGCTGGCCATAAATTTAAGTTTTGTTTTAAAAAAAGAATCATCTCTATACAATTAAATCTAACATCTATTCTCTCTCCTAAACCTTGACCAACTTGCTATTTCGAATTCTGGTCACTTGCTCCTTGCAAAGAATTGGAATATATACTTCATTTTGTTACATTTTTTTATTTGTTAGTGAAATAAGTATTTAATCCAACCCAATTTCAATATATGAAATAATTTTATCTTGTTTAATCATTGCATATAATAAATTTATCCTATTGTAATGTTACACCAGCTGTAAGCTGCAACTAGAAGCTAATCTTAACTTGTGCTGGATCTCTGGAGAGTGTCAGATATGACCAAACTCAGTTATATTTGTTGTGGTTGAGTGGGATGAGGTCAGATTTCAAGCAACAATTAAACAGCATCAGCTTGGTGCATTAATTCACTAAAGAGCAGGAAATGCAATGCTAATTTGGGGTGCAGAGGCAGAGAGAAAGTAACTACCTTTCCCTGCCACGTTTTCCAACCACATCAGCCCTGATGGTATTGCTTATTCTTGATTTGTACAGTTTAAAAGAAAAAAAATCTTTGGATAAAATATCCCTCAAGATCCATAAAATACTTGGGTGGCAGTGGCCTGATGGTAATGTCACTGAATAATAATCCAGAAACAGAGCTCATGTTCTTAAATTATGCATTCAAATCCCACAACGGCAAATGAAGCTTGAATTCAACAAAATTTTGAAAAATTACAGTCTAAAGATAGCCATGTAACCACTGTTGATTGATTGATTGATTGCCATTTTAAAAAAAAAATCTGGTTGAGAGGAAAATCTACCATGCTTAACATGTCTGGCTTACATGTGACTGCAGACTCTCAGCAATGTCATTGCTCATCCAATTAAATGTCAATGAATGGTGGCCCAACTGCAACGCTAACATCCCACAAATGAATAAATAGTACATTTTTCATTGAATGGGATGTTTAAAACATTTTCTATTCTGTTCTAAAAGGCTGTAAAACCACAAGTTTAGCTTTGCAATTGAGAAATCTAAATTAATTTCCATGGTTATGCAACACAAACCGAAGTGTATTAACGTGTTCATATGGACAACATATGCTGTGTGGCATTGTATTTAGAAGAAACTGTAACCTATCATGTGAAACTAAAACAGTTTCATTTTCCTGTATATTTAGTTTGAAGCAGACAGGCGAGCTTTCATCATCACCATAAACTCTTTTGGGACAGAACTGTCTAAAGAAGATCGAGCAAAACTATTCCCTCATTGTGGAAAACTGTATCCAGAAGGTCTTGCTCAGTTAGCAAGAGCAGATGATTATGAACAGGTGAAGACTGTAGCAGACTACTATCCAGTAAGTAGTCCTGGTTTTTGTATTAAGAATTCTGGAATAATTTGTGCATGCTAAAATACAGACTGATACAGACTGTAAAACATACTTGATGTCTGCCCTTGAAATAGCTTGCTTTTTTCTGTTACGTTCTGCAATAATCACTTTCACACTTCGATGTTCTTTTATTCATACTTTGGTTTTCTTTTACTAAGAGTACAATCTGTTTTTGTTTCAAACCAAGTAATTTAATATTTAAAAGTAGCTAATTTACTTCAACTTACAATGAACAATATTACCTCTGACTTCTAGATCAAGGACTGGTTTAGATGTAGAATCGAATACATGTTCAAGAAATTCTTGCATTTTCTTTATTCGATGCACTTTAGATGCACACTTTATAAATATGAGCTCCCACTGCAGTAATATTTTTACTGCTTATTTTGCATGACAATTAAGTTGAGTGCCAGATTCCTTTGTACTTATTGTTTTTATCCCTCAGGAATACAAACTATTGTTTGAAGGAGCTGGCAGCAATCCTGGAGATAAAACCCTTGAGGATAGATTTTTTGAACACGAGGTACTTTATTTTTGTCACACTGCATTAAATAGTTGTGTTGTTTGAGATGTTACGTTATATTCCTTGCCAGCTAAGAGATGTGGCAGAAGAGCACCAATAATCCTGAGATACCTAATGTATTTTACTGCACTGTTGTATTTAAAGAATTAAAGCATTCATGCACCTTTCTGCTCAGTCTCTCTTTGTAATACATATTGAATGAAGTATCGCTGAGCCTTGTTAGGTGAATTATAGATTAATACCTTAATAAACTAGATGACAACCACTTGATAAAGCCAGTTCTATCATTATGATCTCATTACCCAAGTTACTGCTAGATTGCTTAAGGTGGAGGAACCAGTAATGAGGTGAGGTGCAGTGACTTGGTTCTTCCTCTCCTAGGCACACCATCTTAGAGGCATCCTGTTCTCATCGTACAGTTCTCTACTTAGCCGTGAAGACTTGACACTGACATTTTATGAAAACCTTTAAGCTTAAAACATTGCAGTGATGTAAGGCAGCCTGTGTTTATGCACTTGCATATTCTAAAATTTGTTGATTAATTGCATTTTGATGCAATACAAATATTTGGTCAAATCACCTCGTCCTGCAGATGTTAAATCATCAATAAACGTGGAAGTAACATTAATTATATGATTGACTCCTGCAGAATCACTGTATTTGAGAAGGACCGGTTATTTGCAGTCAAATCTAGTCAACGCCATGGATGGAATTTGGCAAAGAACTTTCCATACTTTACTCAGCTGTTCAGGATCTGGAATTTAAAAAGTGGCGCGGTTATTCTCATTGTTCAATAATTCTAAGTTAGTGTATTAAATGTCTTCTTTGGCATTGGAAGAATGTTTTGTGTTTCAAGTAGTATAGAAATCCTGTGAAACTCCAATGTAAATTTGGTAGACTTATGAAGAACAACCACTTAAATGACTCTTTCAATGGATTTTTACAAATCCAGCCACCTCAGATTATGGTTGTCCCCAGGTACATAGTTTCTGTGCAACAGAGATCAGTTAGACAAACACCACTACAGAATGGTAGAGCATATGAACATGATTTTGCATGTAAACACTTATGCAAGTACAGAGAAGTTTTGAAATTACTCCAGTACATTAGTTCAGTCAAATATGAACTATTTTTAAACACATACTATGTGGGTCTGTTGGAAAATGTTGAGGATCTTGTCAGTCGTTCATGAGTGGCTCAGGAAGCAGTTTAAATTCTGATCCTCAATTCCACTTAGGGTTACATTAAAATTTTTTATTTCAATGTCTTTGGTATCTACAAAAGTTAATAATTCTATATAGCTGGCATTAATTTTAGATTGTTTTACAGGTTAAACTGAACAAGTTGGCATTTCTTAACCAGTTCCACTTTGGGGTCTTCTATGCATATGTGAAGCTTAAAGAACAAGAATGCAGGAACATTGTATGGATTGCAGAGTGTATTGCACAAAGGCACCGAGCCAAGATTGATAACTATATTCCAATTTTCTGAATTCAGTTTGCCCTACTGCTCTAATAAATGAAATAATAATTGCATTTCATCTCTGTTTCTAGTTGGAATATTTTCATTTGTAAAGTGTACATTAAATTTCCTGGATATATTCCACGTATTCTGATTTTTTTTTTAAGGCTTTGCTGACATTTTAACTTCTAATCTGTTTCTCCTTGAAATAAGGCTTAACAAAAACTAAATCCTGATCTTAATTTGTAATCTGAAGCATTGGCAATTTGATGTACTATATTCATGAGCATCGCTGTTACCTTTGTTAAATTAATTTTAAAATATAATTATCCTAAAATTGTGGAAAATTAGCTTTACAACATTATATTTTTGGCAATATTGCAAATGTCAGTGCTTTAGCATCTCTAATAGATGTTGTAATTGCAATGCAAAATCAAGGTGAGCAGAAGGTCAGCATTGTATTTTCTTCAAATATTTGAATGCCTTCATTAATTTTTTTTCGTGATCAGTGGTAGTTTCTCATAAGTGCAATGTTTTATTTTCACAAAATGCTGTAAACAGCATGGAGTAGCTGAAAGTTATTTATGTTGAAACATAGTATATGATGTAATTTTGTCCCTAAAAGAGTCACTTCTGCATGAGGTAAGTTTAGTATTACTTTAGCACTCACCATAAACTTGTTTACATTCAGGGAAGAATTAGCTGGCTGGCACATGTTCACAAGCAGTTTTGCTTGCTTGTTATGTTGAAACATCAAGTGCAAGTTTTGAAATAGATTCTTGAATATGGACCTAGGAGTAAAATATTTCTGTGCAATTTGGTAATTCATGTGCAGTGCGTAGAAAGTTCTTGAGTTTTGTGTAATAATTAGGATGTAATGCTGATTAATTCTGATTTGAAATTTAAAAAGAATCCTGTAACTTGTTGACTGCTGTATATTGTATTTGTGATCAAGTACTTTAATAAAATGATGGCTGCTTCCTCGCAGATATATCCAGTTAAAATTAACTATTTTAAAATGTGAAACCAATTTAGAATCGAATGTTTAATAATGCAAGGTTGGTAATGTCTTTAAAATTATCCATTGTACAGTTCAAGATGTTTAATTTAGTAACCTTATTTTCCATTATATATTTCTGTTCATCCTAAATAGACTTCTTTTGAGGACATGTCAATAAATCTACCTTTATGAACTATTATAGATGCCCTGGATTTTCATTTCATTCAGCAACAATTCAAATGCTTCAGTTATGTATTTGACAAATTCCAAGATTGCAATGAGCCGGTACTAAATCAATAATGTAAAATAGGGGAACATGTCTTTGTTTTAGGAGCTAAGATTCTACTTTGATTCATCACCTTCCATAAGACACATCACAAGAAGCTCTACACATTTTCTTTCAAGTGTGCCATTGCTTCTTTGTAAGATTGTTTTGTTAATTTTGGAAAACAAACTTTTTGGTTCTTCATTTTAGTGGGCTTTTAATATAACTGAAAAGGGCATAGTGATAACATTTACTTTCATGTTAAGCATTTCATTCCTTCAGATTCTAATTTTTGGACATTTAACAAAAAAATTTGGTTTTTTTATGTTCCTTGATCCCATTTTCTCCACCCCCTCTTTACCCTGCCAGTTTCACTTTCTGAAGAGAAATTGTCGTTGATATAAACATTTTTAACTTGTGCAGTCTGTATTAAAAAGTAAGTCTTAGGAGTTCAGTCATTGGTTAATGATATCTGCTGTTGTTTACTGTGCTTACAAAGGTCCCTGTATAATCTGTGAAATTGAAGCAAGTTTAATAACCAACAGGAGTAAGCCAAATGGCCCTCTTGGCCTGCTCTGCCATTTTATCAGCCATTAGGGTTATTTCTCAATCTCAACTTCATTCCTGCAGCTGATCACCATATTACTCAATTCATTTGGAGTTCAAACATTTATCAGTCTTCATTTTGAGTATCCACCATCTTCTGAAATAGAGAAAGCCAAAGATTGCCAACCCCTGAATGAAGAGATTTCTTCTCAGTCTAAAATGGCTATTCAGATTGCTGATTCTGTGCCTCTAGTTTTGGACTTTGTAGTGTTTCTCATAGTCCTTGTATGGTATTTTGTATATTACCCCAGTTTTGGGTATGCGATCCTTTTACGTTCATCAGTAGCTGTCGTAGGGCAGTTATTGGTTTGTGGGCTACTCTGATACCAAGGGTTCTGAGTAGTTTTGTGGTCATCTCTGAAATGTTCTTGATGTATGTTAGGATAAGTGATTCTGGTCGTGTTGTATCTTCCTGTTGTGGTCTGTCTCGTAAGTAACAGCAGATTGTGTGCTTTTTGGATATCCATTTCTTTTGAAGACTCTGTATAAGTGTTCTTGTTCTGCTTTTTGTAGTTCTGGGTTGCTGCAATGTGTTGTGGCTCGTTTAAATAGTGTCCTGATGCAGCTTCGTTTGTGGGCGTTGGGGTGGTTGCTAGTGTAATTGAGTATTTGGTCCATTTGTGTGGTCTTTCTATATATACTAGTCTGGAGTTCCCCATTGGTTTGTGTTCTACCATTATGTCCAGGAAGGGTAGTTGGTGGTGGTTCTCTGCTTCTTTCGTGAATTTTATCCTGGTAAGAATGTTGTTTGTGTCGCTGCGTTTCTTCCAGTTTAATGTATTTAATAATCACAAAGGCCTCCTCTACATATTGGACCCATCGGGTTGTATAGTGGGAAGTGGGAAGCATTACTGCTTCTGATATTGGGGATCCCATTGGTGTTCTGTTGATTTGTTTGTACGTCGTTGAAGGCGAAGTGGGTTGAGAGGCGCAAATCTAGTAGTTTCATGGTGGTGCCCTTATTAATGTTGTTGGCATCCTCGGTTGCCTACTTACTTGATTCGTCTAGCAGTGTAGCAACTGTTTCTTTGGCTAGGTCGACGTCTATGGATGTAAATAGTGATGTTACGTTGAAAGATATCATCATCTCGTCCTCTTCTATCCTAGTGTCCTTGATGATGTTGAGGAATTCTTGGGAGGAGTGGATGGTGTTGTTGACGTTGTAGTTCTTTGGCAAGTCTAAATGTTGGTGTACCTGACAGTGAGACCGTGGGTCTGAGGGGGACCCCTTGTTTCTGCACAATCGGGGTGTGTTGGATTCCTCTGGCTTCATTTTTTTGGTAGTCTGTCTTGCAGATGTCTCCCGAGTTGTTGTAATCCATTTCCTAGTTGTGGTGTCGGGTCTGTTGCCATCTGTTGGGAGGTGTCGGTATCTGCTAGTAGTGCGCTGGCTATCTATGGGTTTTATTGAGGATTACTATCGTGCACCCTTTGCTAGTAAGATTATAATGTTCCTGTCTTTCTTGAGTCTTTCCACATCTTTCCTCTCTTCTCTGAATGTGTTCCACATTTTTTTTTTGTTCAGTTTAGGGACTATCGTCTGTGTGATGGTCTGTTGTACTTCTGTGAGTCTGTTGCTCTTTAGCGTTGATACCAGCACAGCCAGGAAGTCAGTTTTTTTTGGTGTCTCTGTAGTTATAATTCAGTCCGCGTACTAGGACGGTCTTCTCAGTGTCTGTAAGTGTCCGAATTATAACTAGGACTTTGCAACCAAATCCACCAGCTTGACGAGCGTGTCTACAACCTCATCCACAACCTGAGCTACAAATCTTCTTGAAAACTTTAAACAAAGGTTTTGAGTTTATGGCATATACCAACTGTTACCTTGTTTCATTTTGGTCTTCTAAAATTATTGTATTGTTAACAAATTGCTAAGTCTTTTGTTTAAGATACAACTGGTGTCTGGAATTGATTATTCAGAGTCTGAGATTGGTTGGTTATTCAAAAATCTGGTCAGGAACCATTGGGAAATTTTGAGGGTCTCCGAAGGTTTTAATTTTACCATATTGTGAATAGAGGTAGAAAGGTTGATTTGATTCAGCTGCCTATCACCATGACATAACACATTTCAAAATGTATCACCTCATGCTTTTCAGGATTAAATTCCATTTGCACTCTTAGCCCACGTGACCAGCCTGTCTATATCATTTGGTAGTCTAAGACTTTCATTCTTGCTATTTACTACACCACCAATTTTTGTTATCTGCAAACTTACTGATACTTCTAAATCATGCCTCCTAAATTTGATTCTAGATCACTAATGTACACTGCAAACAGCAAGAAACCCATTGTTAGGTACAGGCTTCCAGTCAAAAACCTGTTTCAAAAATCACCTTCTGTTTCCTGTCAATTTGGATCTAATTTGCTAAATTGCTCTGGATCCCATAAGCTCTTGGTCTCACATTACAGAATAGTTAAATACTTTGACAAAAGCCTTACTGAAGTCCATGTAGGCTACGTCAATCACACTACCCTCATTTATGTGTCTAGGCACCAGCTCAAAATATAATCAGATTTGTTAGATATGATCTCTTCCTGGCTAAGCCACGCTGAATATCCTTGATTAATCCTTGCTTCTCCAAGAGGAGATTAATTCTAACCCTCAGAATTTTTTGTTTACAATAGTTTCCCTACCCTGATTTTAGACTCACTGGCCTGTAATTTTCTAGTTTAACCCTTTCACCCATCTTTAATAATTGTATCTCATTAGCTGCTCTCCAGTCCTCTGGCATCCCCTCCTGCAGCCAAAGAAGACATGAAGATTAATATCAAAGCCCCTGCAATCTCTTCACTTGCAACCCACAGCAGCTTAGGGTACACCTCATCCGGTCCTGGGGACATATCCACTTTCAACCTTGTTAAAACTGTTAATATCTGCTTCCTTTCAGTGATACACATTGGATAAGGGTAAAAATGGAGGCTGCTATCTACCTGAGAGATAGTAAGAACTGATGCTGGAGTCAGAGATAACTGTGAAGCTGGAGGAACACAGCAGGCCAGACAGCACCAGAGGAGCAGGAAAGCTTACATTTCGGGTCGGGACCCTTCTGAAGAAGGGTCCTGACCCAAAACATCAGCTTTCCTGCTGCTGTGGTGCTGCCTGGCTTGCTGTGTTCCTCCAGCTCCACGCTGGCTCCTATCTGCCTGATAGTTGTGGAGAGGTAGTAGGAACTGCCAATGCTGGAGAATCTGAGATAACACTCTGTAGAGCTGTTTGAATAGTTGTATTCAATTGTCTCTGACCGCAAAGTAGACCTGTGCTATCACC